TTTTTGACTTTTCCTCCAGACCACCCTGGGGTATATTTAATGAACAGTCCCAAAGCCTACACCTTAATGGGTCATCTTAAAATACTTTTGTTTTGTGATTCGAACAAATATCTTTCTTGAAATAATTCTTTTATGATTGAATTACAAGCGAACTAGGAATACCACATGTGTTAGCAAATCGCATACTTACAAGATTGTACAAGGCAGCCTTAATTCTTGGAGAAAAGCGGATTAGAATCCTGTAAAAGATTTATGATTAATAGTGAAACAATTCAAGCGCAATTACATTTAAAATAAGTAGAAATTAGAATAACATTTCAACAAAGCGAGCACAGAAATACATAGAAAATGAATAGCAAAACAAGAAAAGAGAATGTATTGAAGCATTCTACAAACTCTGCACTGCTGGGACAAATGTCTTTGATCTTCATCAGCTCTTCTTTGCTGTCAAATGTCATCATTGAAACACCATGTTTTGCTGCATATCTATGGATTGAAAATAAAATTCATGATGATGGTATAAAGGTAGGGAGAGCATTTGTAGGGCAGGGTGTGTGTAGCGTGGCACAAGAGATGGATTGTAGCACGATGTTGAAGTTTGTTGATGAAAACGCAKTCTTAGACTCAAGAAATTGAGGATATTACACGGGCGTGCGGAGATACGGATTTTATGTTCGAGTGTTGAAAAGATCTCTCACGAGTGAGATTAATGTAATATTCTATTTATCATATTGTGACAATTGAAATTTAATTTAATTAATTTCATATTTATTTTGTGTATTACTGATTCATATGTTTTGGGTAGCCTGTGTGTTTCCTTGTATAGTCGTCATGACCTTATTTGGGAATGGGCTGTACGTGTGATTTTGTGCATGTTTTGTAATAAATTTAGTTCTGTCACGACGCTCGTGCTGTGTGGTTGGCTTCATGTTTAAGCCATAATACGAACTGATGTACAAAAACCCGGCCGTTACAATATAATTGTATATGAAAGCAAATAATGTCTTAAAATMGCTTTTTTCTTACTTCCACTATATAGAGAAACCTCGAATGTGTTATTTTCACTAGGGAAAATATCAAGTTAACGAAATGGAGGTATTTCATAGATAATTATATGATAAGTGTCTTTATTACATAAACACTTTAAAGAGATCATCAAAGTTATTAATACTTCGAATTCATAGAGAAAAACCGCTGCTTGATTTGACAACAGATTCTTTTGCGCAAAGACCTGACCAAACACAAAGAAAGAACGAGAAAATGTCGTTATTACAATAGCCTTGTAAATTTGCATTTCTCCCGAGTTGAGACTAACC